TAATTAATATTGTCAGAGAATAATCTAATTATACTTAAAATAAATCTTTAAAAATCAGTTAGCGAAAACACCAAGATACTTACGATTGATATTGCCGTGCACGCCGCGGCGCGCGCTGACATTTCTGATTCCTGTACTCGGTGATCTAGGTAAAGATCAAGAATCTAGGTCAAGGTACACAGCTCTTGACAAAAATGTCCCGCCGCCCGCCGCTCAAGTAGGTCAAGGCCATATGTGTCGTTGGCTTGGCGCGAGAGTCTTCCCTATCGTTTATCGCAAATATCTGGGCAACCACAGAAGATATAAAGATGATTCAAAAAGGACTGTTTAGTTTATACTCTGCGCTGTTGGAATATCTCGATGTTGTTACTAACAATTACGTCTTTCCGTTTATTTAACATGATAAAGCGCGCGCGTGCCGTAAAGATCGAGCGCCAAATGATTTCTCTGACTTTCATAAAACGCTTATATCTCGGCAACCGTAAATGATAGAAATATGATTTAAAAAAGACTTTGTACTTTGTACTTTGCCCTATTGGTATTACTCAATTGTATTACTTGCAATATTATGTACTTTCGTTTATTAAAGCAATAAAGCGCGAGCTAGCCAAAAGATTCGCGCGCCTCGCGCGCCGTTCATCATTTTCATTAAACGATTAAACGTTTATATCTAGGCAATCGTAAAAGATGATTCAAAAGATGATTCAAAAAGCACTTTTTAAATCGTGCTCTATTAGAATTGCTTACTTTTATTATTGGCAATTATTTATTTCCGTTTATGAAGACGAGAAAACGCGCAAAATCTTAAGGATTCGGGCGTCAAGTGATCTTTTATTTTCATTAAACGCTTATATCTTGGCAACAGCAAACGATAAAAAATGATTTAACAAGCACTCGTTAGTTTGAAAACTGCCCTATTGGAATTAGTCATGATTATTAATACTGGCAATTTTACAGTTTTGATTACTAAGACGACAAGAGCTTAACGAAACGTGCGCCGAGCGACTTTTTATTTTCAGTAAACACTTATGGTATTATATATATTTCGGCAATTATAAATAATATATAGAAAAATGATAGAAAAACACTACAAAATGGTTTTAGCCTTTTTCCTTGTTTATAATGTTTTTTTTTCTTTTTTAAGCTGATTTCATGGATTTTTGTTGCGCGCCGACTTCGAAACTATATCAAAATTTGAGTCATTTTTGGCTAAAATTATATGGAATAAATATGTTCTCGTCAAGATATAAGATAAATTTATATTATTTGTTCCCTGTCGTCAAAATCACCAATGTACCACTTAATATTGTCAATTTATATAGTGTTGATCATGAAACTAACATGCTTTTTATCGTTAATACGGTTAATTTAACGGCAATCGTCAAAGTATATATAGATTGAACGGTATAACTTTTCGGAACATTGTCTCATTTCTAAGATTTCGAGACTATGATATTTTGGCACATTGTCACGTTTCTAAGATTTCGAGATTATGCCCTTTCGGCACATTGTCACGTTTCTTAAATTTTGGGTTTTTGACTTTTCGGGACAATATATGAGTTTTCAAATTTTAGCACATTTCTTTTCGGGACTTTGTATGTCTACCAATATTATGATTTATTTAATTCTAGCACACACATTCTCCGCGAAGCGAATAATTTCGCAGATATTTTACTAGTAACTGAAATCCAGCAAAACGTTAAACATTATTGACATATCAAAGTACATAAATGTCATAGTTGTCTCGTAAGCGATAGACAATAAAAATTGATTTCTTATAGCATCAATAATTTTCTCAAATATATATCCATGATTCGATTTCTTTTCCAAGATTTAATATTTTGGTTGAAGTAATACGTAGCTTATTGTAAGAAAAATAAAAAAATAAAATTTATGTTGAAATATCTGTTTCATACTGTTTGGAACAAGCCCGCGTACGGGCCTGGTCTCGTGATTTAGATGAGGAAGGAACAAATAACCTGAAAATTTGTATTGAGAGAGAAATTGTGTGCCTTGGTTTATTTAATGAAAAAACTTATATTTGGCAGAAATAGTCAAAGAATACCAACATTTGTTGTAAGGGTAAGGAAAACTGCCACAAAACCTTACCAGTATTCGTATAACAAAATTAGTTAATCGCTGTTTGATAGTTGCGCAATAAATATATACAACAAATAATTGGGTTTGTATTACAAGAAAATGAGCTGTTTAAATATCAGATAAAAGAAAATGATTAGTATAGAACAGTCCTTTCTTTAAAGATATGACAGAATATACTTTGAATTCACTGAGGTATTTCTTTATCATATGACAAGATTCGTTATGAAAGGAATTGTAATAGTATGTTTGCATATAATTTATCTTGACGAAGTCAAGCTCAGAATTAGTTGTTCTCTTTTTAAATTAATTAAAAACAAGAATGTCAATTCAGATATAATTTGAACAGTGGAAATAATGTATCAATCATTTAGTTAAATCATGAATAATTGTCATTGGCTTTGTCAATAATATTCTTTGTAATTCGAATATTAACTGAGTATTACAGAACTTGCGTATAAATCACGGCAAAGTAATATATTACATCATGAGCAATTACTACAACACGAGCTATACATACGACACGAGCAACGACAAAGGCAATGAATACAACACAAGCACTTAATACGACACGAGCAACGAGGATTCAACTGAGTTTACGGAATTACCATTGTAGTATGCCTTCAATCTTAGATTGACACATTAATTCGACATAAAACAAACGCAATTTTAGATAATTAATGATTCGCAAAATAATTACAGGGATAAATATCAAGTACTTGAGTAAGATATTTTATCGAGTCGTAAGCAAACGATTAATAGCGTTTTTCTTTGGCAGAACTGGTGCGCACTCAGTGCACATTAAAGCCGTTGTACACAAATCAACGTAATGTGTATGTTTAATATAAACGGGTTAAATCATGAAATCCTCAATATTCTTTATTGCACTATTTGGTAAAATATGTACTGGGTATTTTATCAGTCGAAATATTTGCATTTTACTTTAAATATTAGAGATTAAATCAGTGTACAACTGCCTTAATGCGCACTGAGTGCGCACCAGTTCTGCCAATGAAAAACGCTATAATAGATAGTATTATCACGACGCATGAAAACGAGTAAGAGTTAATTTCGCAAGTAACATATTCTAACTGAGTAGTAAGTGCAACGCATGTACGCACGTTAATGTGATTAAATACAAAGAATCTTCACTATCGGATTTAACAATCAATCGTATAAAAGAAAGAATTACAGTTTTTTCATTATTGTGAAGAAAATGGTTGCAACAAACGAAATAACAAATGAAATGATATTTATACTGAGCTCAGTTTTCTAATATTGACTCGAAATTAAATGTGCACAACTCTACAATAAGCGAGATAATGTTTTTCTTCACTTACTCTCGTGATTTCAGCAAGTTGAAATTCGTAACCGATAGAGGAATAAAGATCCCTTGCGGATCCCTCGTGTGACGTTAGACGAGAGTCTAACGTCCGTACTCGTGAATGTGAGAAAACGGTTACCTTTGAATTGAAGCTCTCATCACCTCAGATATGCGAGTAACTATACATTGTCTCAGAGACCACGCAACGCTCAGATATCTCCTCAGTTCATGAATAACTTCTCGTCGTAGGCTCGAACAGGATGTCTCGAACGTTCCCAAAATGGCTGCCGTCCTCGTGTCTGGAAAGTTCGCAGAAACGTTCCCAAATAAATGCCCTGTCTGCGAAGACCGTCGTTTCCCTTGTGGGCTGCGTATCCGATCAAAACTTTATAACGGCAATAAGAGTACAATACGAATATGATTTCCGATCGGCACGAATAATAATTCTCGTATACGGCGTTTTTGCGTAACTGCGAATTGAATATTATAAAACTTCTCGAACAGTACAGACGAGTGTCTACTACGACGGTCGGAAGACGAATGCTCGTTCCCCGGGCTGCGCGCCCCTCTCGACATGCTCACGCACGCGCGCGATTGCCCTACGCCGGCGCCGGGCCGCTTCACACACCTGGGACGCACCGCGGTCGGCGCCTCTTGGCGCATTCACATGTGCCTACGCAGAACGCGCGGCCTGATCTACCGCAATACAAAAGCCACAGATGGCTGCACCGACACAATTTCTCTCTCTCTCTCTCTCTCTCTCTCTCTCTCTCTCTCTCTCTCTCTCTCTCTCTCTCTCTCTCTCTCTCTATTTCTTTCAACTTCAAACACATACATTGAATTACATTTTACGATAAATAATTTATATAATATTACTGTATATGTATATTGGTTACATGGCACTTTGTATATAAAATATAAAGCATACCTATTTTTTATTTTCACGAAGGACTATGCCTATAGTTTCTCATGGAAATCGATGGACAGCATTGAGACATGGTTTGTATTGTAAAACATCAAAAAAGAGTTAAAAAGTTCCATGGTTATAAACTTGTAAAATGAGTTCCCTGAATGATAGAGCTATCCAAAGTTTGCTATTATGGCCATGTATATACCACTGGTCTTGTTTGATTTCTTTACGTCAGGACACCTCACCGCGGTAAAGACGGTAATAGATTGAACGAAAGACATTAAAATAATAATATGCATGGAATGTATTTAGTACAGTTTATTTACCCTATCTCTATTCGATTTTGACGGGCTTTGAACGCATTTTTTTTTGCTTTGATGCAGGTTTAGCAGAAATTTCATATATTTATCGATTACGAGTGAATATCTCTGATACCATGAGTTACCTATATGAAACAATGTTTGAGACATCTAAAGGTTACGATATTATCTCTATAATCTGTATTTACATATATTTTTTTAATATTATATTTTTTTACATATCCGCTCTCTTTAATGTTATTTTTGCAAAAATATAACATTTAAAAAAATGTAAATATACGATAATCACATTTTTTTCATACCTCTACACGTCGAAATGTTATTTTTGCAAAAATGTAACATTTAAAAAAATCTGAATGCACAATAATCATATTTTTTTACATATCCCTACTCTTCAACGTTACTTTGGCAAAAAATCTAAAAATCTAAATACACAATTACAAGGATCACTTAATAAAGTAACTTTTTTGTCTAAATTATTTTTTTATATACATACCTCACGATTTCGGAGATAATCGCTTGTTATCAAATGTATAAAATTTCTTTAATCTCTTATATGCCTCGAAACCGATAAAACACACGTCTGTTTTTTTTCGCTATTTTATAGCATATCCAAATCCAAACCAATTCAAAATCAATGAAGGACAGTATCAAATGTTTCCTGTAAGTCCCTGGACGTGATCTCTGTCATCACGTCAAAGAAATTCGGATTTAGATGTCGTTAAGTGTGGTGCGCGTGTGATGACAGTTATGGTATCTGAGATATGCCAATATCTTGACAAAGACATTCACGTGCCAGTAACAACAGTAGCAAGTAATAATTTTGTACAATTAGAGAGCTCTGATGAGAAAAAGAAACCTGAAGAGAAAGATATATATAAGGTCTGTACGCTCGTCAAACTTTAATTAGGTAAAATCTTCTATTTCGTACTTCATGAATACCCCCCCCCCCCTTAACGATTAATATATGTCCCATAACTGTTTACTCATGGGGCCCAGACAGAGCACAGTCCATTAATTATTTTTTGATTCTCCAACAGAAATTGTCGTCATGCATCACTATGAATCGATGTTGTCGTCTATCGTTGAGTCTGTAAATAAAATAACTACTTAAATTCCATTGAAATTGTCTTACAATAACAAATGCGTGGTACAAAAATTTGTATCTGCCGCATTTGTTCCATAAGCATTTCATAATTTTTTAATCGTCTTTTCTTTATATTGAATAAATTATTTTATATAAGTTATTAACAACTTACTTATTAAAGAATAAAATAAGCTTAATTATATTAACAAAATAATTAAGAAGTCAGATGTAAAATTCTGTCTAATTCTTTCTGGGTTTCATATAACATTTTTTCCTTATTTTTCATATACGTTTCGATCACTACTGGACGCATTTCTGTCCATTCGTACAAAAATTGAAATATGAGACATGCATAATTTGGAAAACAGAATTTAATGGCAAAATTCAAAGCTGATTCAACTTTCCTAGCACATCGAGCTTTAATACATAATAGCAGCCAATAAAACCTGCAAAATTCGTGCGCTTTACATTATGCAATTATGAATAAAACTGAATAAAAATATGCATATTTACCGTATTTCAACATTTCGTATATTGAAAGCAAAAATAGGCGTCATTGATCGTAGTTCTTCCTTGGTTAGATTTGTTTTAAAGGTATGATAGATTAAGAATATTATTCTCTCAACGTCACAAAATTCATTTGCAATTAATTGAAAATTTCTGTTATTAACTATAATATCACTATTTTCAGGTTCCCAATCTAGTGCTAAACGGAAACAGTGTATTTCCAATATGGACTCTCTCGGCACGATAAATGGTGATGTGATATTAAAGAGCCATAAGTACCATTCAACACAATCTAATATCTGAGAAGATCATAGAAGTTTTTATTTTTAATGCTAAACGTGTGAATACTGTCGAAACTCTAGATTATTAATATTGGTATAAAAAGTATGTTATTACCCTCTTTTTATGAGGAAAATATTGATACAAGCAATTTATCCAATCTATAGTGTTGATACTTCTGTACGCAAAGCTTCGAAAATAATATTTAAGAAATTTTTCAAATTCTGCAGATCCTCCTAAGATACTCTCCAGATGATGCAATAGCTTACATCCCCATTCGTAAGGCACATATTTAGTGGCTTTGTGAGGTGACATACCCGTCAAATTGGGTATTAAGCATTTTAACAAGCCCCTATTTTCGAAGTTTTTGATCTGCAATATAATTTCAGAAAATAGTAAGAATAAAACAAGTGAGAATGCAAGATTATGTATTTATCGTGTATGAAATGTAAAATGTTGTCAATTGGTAACATTATTTGTTACTTTATTTCTATTGCCTAATCAAATTTAATATCTTACCTGCATACTTAGGTTTCTTAAATCTTCTCTTTGAAAAAATTCATTCATTTCTTCATAATTCAAATACATTATGCATCCAATTTTTCTATAAGTAAAAATGCTGAGACTTTTATTTAACCACAAATGCTCATAATTTGAACACGTAACTAAATTTCCTGCCCAGCTCTGTGAGATGTTTCGAGCAAGAGGACTCATATAACAATCATCTCCGCCAAGTAGTGTCGGCGAAATAAATGTCACACATGGACATTCTATTTCGAAATGGGCGATACTTGGTGGAAGCACGCATATATCGTATATACCTAAAGATACAATTTTAAATGTATAATAAAAAAAATAATAATTAGAATAAACAAAAGAGAGAAATTGATTGTTCACAAAGGCAAAATTTGTTATATGTATAAATTTAATTAAACTAATAGCAAAAAATCTGGTCAATATTCTACCCCACAAATAAGGTCCACATAGACTTTCGGCAGCGTTTAATAGCTTTTGGGCTGAACGACGAAGTTTAAGTATATTTTTGACAAATCTTGAACTTCCTTCGGAAAATATCAAATTCCTTTCGGCAAATATATTGATTCTTGCATCAAGTTTTATTTCTAGTAGTGAGCCTACGGCAATAATAACCGCATAAGATGATACAGATTTGTTTTGATGAAATTCATGTATGTCTAGCTCCGGACCTGCATCGTATATTCTTTGCAAAAGTGCGGACATCAAAACTCTAAAATTCTTTTGTACAAAAATCTAAAAAATAAAATATACGTATTTAAATATTAAAAATATACATTGTATTTCAGTTTAATTGAAGCAATTTTAAAGAAAATATAGGCATTTATATTATATATAGATAAAAATATTTTCTTTCTACTAAAGCATTCTATTTTTCCGCATTTTTATTTCTTTTAACAATATTAATCAATCAAATATCATCATTTTTATGAATAAATGCGGTAAATGAATAAATGCGATATGCATGCAAATACTACTTGTGTTTAAATTTTTACCTTAGCAGAGTATTCAAATTTGACAGATGGGGTGTCCTGGCAAGGAAACCATGATCGAGCGTAAATTAGCTGGAAAATACAGACTTTTACATAATCTATATTTATGTGGAAATATATCTTTATTTAGCCGGTTTACCTTGTTGTTAGACAGTAGAAAGGGATGTCTACTATCGGTTGTTTGCTCACGTGTTAGCCAATATAGTGCAGGAGAGGTTGGACTTGTTTTATATACAATTTGAATTTTACATCTGAAAGTATCGTATTGTGGATAGTCAATTCTTACATAAATAATTTTTAATAAATTAAATTTTTCTAAAAATATCTTATATTTACATAGAGTTATATGTAGTATCAACAGTTTGTGGTAACTGTACGCAAAATGGACTTCCAAGAGCATAACTATTTCCAACATGATAATTTAAAGGTATCCCATTGGTGTCTGTGACATGTGATACAACAAGTCCGAAGTTATCTAAAATCTAATTATTTGATGTTACATATTAATAACCATGCAGTCAAATCTTTTGCTCGGTATAAGAAAATTACCTATATCTACTCACTATTTCACTAGTTGAAGGTTTTCTTTCTATCGTCAAAATTGCTTTTCCTTTGAGAACTTTTTGATTAAAATCCACAATCAATTCTAAATCTATATAGATCACTCTTGCCAATTCTTATAATTAGAAAAATTAAAATAAATAATATAAGTAAGAAATAATGTTATATTAACGTAATAAGTAAATACATGATAATGAATTATATATTGTAACGAAAATTGTTATTGTAATTGCGCACCAATGTTATGTGTAAAATACAAACAATTTCCAAATTCTTATACTAATGCAATATATTTTAGGCATTTAAAAAGATGCATAGCGTATTGTCAGTTAGTTAATATTGTCAGAGAATAATCCAATTTTGAGAACTATATATTAATTGCTATAGAAGTATTAAATATATATACGTGCAGCAGTTTTGATTTCAAACATCTATATAAATTTTGCAACTTATTTTATTGTATTTTCTTTAAAGAAAAAATAAATAAATAAATTAAAAATATCTTTATTATGTTTACGTAGCTAATTAAGTAATTAAATAAAATACCTGGTATCGCAAAAGAGTGTGGATCTCCAGTAGATCTTGAAATATCCATTTAGGATAGTCAGGTTGTAGCCTTTTCAAATGACTTACAATAAATGCGATAGATTTTTATGTCTATACTGATCGCAAAAGGGCACAGTATTGCTTTTAACTTCTCTCACTTTCTTTTGTTTAGTATAGTAAACATTGTATTTATTAAAATGTCAAAGTGACTGCGACTTTTCGCTTATAAACATATTCGAACTAGGGAAATTTAGTAAATCAAACTGATGTTATACACTGCGGGACTGGTTTATTATACTTTAATTGAATTTACATTTTAAGTTCCTAAAGAGAAATATTTATAATTTTTACTAGTAATTTCTGTTCATAAAATATATAATACCATAAAAATTGTTCTTTTAAGGAGCTATATTTTTTATTGAAATGTTAATAGTTAATTAATTAAATATACTAATAGAGTTAATAATTATTTATTAAAACTGATTGTGTGCTACAGAGAACGGCATGTATCGGCAGTATAATACTGGCCGAGTCGTGTTATCGCCCGACTGTAACATACTTTTGATCCAACTACTTATTTGACGGAGAAACAAACACAAGATTAGCCTTGAATTTTATGATCAATAAACTCTTAACCCTTTGTGCAATTATTTGTAATCAAACATGTTTTCTACTTTTTATTTAAATATTATACTTGCAATATGCACTGCGTTCTGTGGACTCTATTTGACGGTCACTTCGAGCTCAGAATTTTAAATTAATCGGCGAGTTATAGTTGGACACCCAAAGAAATAAGAACTCAATACTATTACTATTCACAATAACTTATAATAATTTTTACAATATATCACACATCACACATATTACTAAAAATATATATGGTATTGTGTACAAAACTTTATATAAAGCTCTTTTTAATAATTCAGTATGACTCTGACTTTGATGCACAAATCAGTGTTATTATAAACTACAAAAAAAGTTCTATTCGATTTTTAATAAATTCCGAGCATTGAAAACTAAAATTTATATTAATAACTACTTAATTATTTTTATATCACATTTATTATATCATGTCAAAGTGGTTTTTGATAAAAATTTATCATCTTTATTGATAATAGAAGACGCCATCTTTTCACTCGATTTTGCAACCTAATTGTAAATAAATCGAATAATATAATTATATAAACAACATATCAAATTTTATATTATAGTAAAACACTGCAGAATAATATATATACTGTAATATAAAATACTATATTATTTAGTATAAAATAATATACGTTATAATATATTTATATAACATACACTTAATTTATTTATTAAATTCTGTCTTTAATAATTAAATTATTAATTTTTTACAACAAAACAAGATGATATCTAATCAAGCAAGATAAATTTTACTAAAAAATAAAAAATGTGATTTAATAAGAAAATAATAGAACCTTGACTTGATGAAATTCTTCAGGCGCAACGTCTTTTCTTGAAGTCTTTAAATATTTTTTCACAAATGGTGCTACAAGCATTGGATCTATCTTTTCAACATCTTCGGATCTAATCAGAGTTACGACGGGACTAACACTTATAGTCACTAGTAGTCACCAGTATAGTATACTAAAGATAACTGAGACGGTATAATGCCCATGGTTGATCTCTATTAAATATAATAATTATATTATACCATTCAACAGAAAATAAACTTTTGAAACGCTCAAAATTGTACAATTTTCAAACCGTTGAAAATCGGTGACAAATAATCGCAGGAAAAATATTTAAAAAAATATTTTAAAGCTTAAAATTTGTACTTTAATATCCCAGTTAGCCAAGCGTGCCTGCAAAATCGCGCAAATTTATGATTGTTTATGATCGCGCAAATTTATGATGTTGGCAACTTGCCGTATATTTGTCTTTAACTATTTCGAGTATACCGATAATTAAAGCAACACGCAAGCGACAATGGATATATGTATTGCCAGCAATTTAAGGGCAAGAGCCGTTAACAGCAGCATCAGATTTACCTCACGTTGCTAGCAACATAATACATAATATTATAAAAAAAAAAAAGACGAGAAGAAATGACGTGTAGCGCTAAAGAAAGTTTTTGTACTAATTGTTTTTAAATATTTAATTTACTCATTAAACGCATTATTCAGCTATACAATTGTGCAGTTTTGGACATTCCTGTCTGTTAAGCATTAAAACTACGTATCCAAGATATCCCAGAATTTGCACGCATGAAATGCACAATGCAACTTTCTATGCTAGAAGAAATAGGTTTTTCCTCTGGCAAAATTGCATCCGAGCAATAATTCTTTTTATGATTTTAAATGAAAATAATTTGAAGTTAACGAATGAGAGATTTAAGTTACTCATGAACCAGGGGCGACATGCGCTAATTTTAATAACAAACAAAAAACATTAATAATTTAATAATTAATAATTATTAACAGTTATTAAATTAACATTATTTAACTTACTCTCCAACGTTGTCTACAACTGAATCTGGTGGTACGAATGTCAATAAATTTTCTATAACTTGTGAGAATGAATAAGTGCATCCCTCAGTGGTGACGGGTTTCATATCAAATCTGTAAAAATATTGGTGTAATCATTTGTAATCGTACTTTAAAGGGACAAAAAATCATGCAAGATTGATTATTGCATGTTAACGTTAATAATTTAATAACACATACTTAATTTTTCCACTGGTAATAGCTGCTTCGGCAGAAAGACCAAACTAACCCAATTTCTCCTACTAGAGCACTCTGTTGAATTTAATTAACATATTTATTTTCATCAAGAAATGTAAATATAAATTCTATTAAGTTAAAGTAAAATAAGTTTATCTTTAACGTGCCTTGGTATTCATCCATGGTAATAACAATTCCATGTTGAAAATGCCAAAGGATGGTCCATGGCCGGTGATAGCGACTTATGTATGGATAACTATACATTCGTTCAAATATGAAAAAAAGTTTGTATTTGTCGACGAACGTCTTCATATTTACCTGCAACATTGAGTGCCTGCTTGCTCAACGACAAAAACAAGAGCAACACAGATTGTTCCTAAAATGACACCGGCATGCGTTTACTCCACCGGCCATTCACCAACCATTCACCGGCCTGTGTTTAATCCACCGATCTTCCACTGACCTGATGCGTCGACTACGCCGATTTTCCACCGGTGTTTCATCGGCCTGCGTCGACTCCGCCATCACATTTTATTGCTACTTAGCTGGTGCTGTCTTAGGTGCTGTCTTACGTAGAGAAAAAAGCGGAACGGAAAAGCGAAACGGAAACCAAGCACAGTGGGGGTAACTAATCAGAACGTTTCTCTAAATATCCGTTCCGATTTTATATGATCGGGTTCCCCATGTGCCAGGAAAAACGGAAATACGTAAATATTAAAAATAATTTTTTGTTAATTATACTTCATAGAAATAATATTAATATTATAAGATAATATTTGTTTATATGATAAATGGAACAATCTCATGGAATATATATTACGAAAAAACAAAGATAATTCAAAATTATTGTAAATTTTAGGTTAGAACTCTTTCCGTTTTTCCGTAAAATATCGTCCAAGGAAACCCAGTCATATAAAAGCGGAACAAAATGAAAGTGATTGGTTACACCCTACTATATGTGCTTCGCCTTTCCGTTTTGCTTTTCCGTTCCGCTTTTTCCTCTACGTTTCGGTTTTCCTCAAAAGATTTTTTTTCGTTCAATATCGTGACTTTGATCAATCATATCTCGGAAAGTATTAACCAGAGAATGACCAAAAGAATTTGATTTTGTAGGTAATTTTATTCTCTAAATATTCGATTTTTTCATATTCCACCTTAAGCGTAAGTGCAACCGTTGGCCTGCCAATTTTGAATCAAGACAAAATTGTACCATTGATTGACATTTACGGGGTGAATAATTTATTATTATTATTACCATTAGATATGCCTTGAAACGACTACGCAAGAGGAAGGTCTCGAATATTTTTAATTGTTACTGTTACACTATATTAATCTTTATTTTAACATATCTATGCAGAATAGCTAAAAGAACAGAATTACATATATGAACAATTATACGGTTCTACTTAATTAGAAGAAATAACTGATGACATTGTATCATATAAAAAAAATTACACATAAAATTCTAATACATTTATTTCTTTAATTTTTATCTTGAATATTTGTTTGTAATAAATTTCGAACAGTAGTTACTAAAATATAAATTGTATGTATATAGGAGAGAATATAATATAATTGTTACGTTATAGAACAAGCCTGCAGCTGGTTTACACTTTTCACCCGACCTTACCTATTACCGTCTTCACTCCTCGCGTTTCCTGGCATTTAGGCTGTTTAAGAAAACGTAAGACGCTTGGGTTCAGGGATGGTATTACACTAAGAAAAAAATTGGTTGTACAGACTAAATTTGTATAATTGTTGATCCAATGGTTGATTCAACAATCATTAAGTTTCACTAAAAAGTGTATAATCCTTCTATAGTTCACTCATGTCATCCATCACAAATTTTTAATCAAGAATTAGTTAATTCAACTAATGTTTAGTTAAACCAGTTAATGTTTGAACGTATAGGACTAAATATTTCAGTTAGATAAAACACAATTGTTCAACAAATTTTTTTTCCCTATGTAGCTATAAATATTATGTGTATATAATATATTATATATTACATTATATAATTATATTTGTATTTTATATACATACATAATTATATAATAACAACTATGGCCAGTGAACAGAGCGCACACTCGCCAAAGTCCCACACAGAGATTCTTTTATGGCTTCATGAACAACGTATAATATGCTATGAAACAAGAGGAGTAAAGTTAACAATAAGCAATATCGGCCGAAAGGTGCAAATCGGCCACAAACCTGTGTGTCATAAAATATTAACAACGTATAATTACATTGTATTAATCAGGACAGACTTATTTGAACTTCTTCTTGATTTGACATATCATCTTCCGTCAGTTAAAATATAGAGGACATTTGTTGCATAATTATATTTTATCATCCAATTTAACCCCAAGAATGGATTCCAATTCTTTTATGGTTTCGGGAAGCATTTTAGAACGTCTTTTATCATCCATAAACCATGAGATGGTCAAGATACGAGTTACTGTCCATTCGTACATATCGCGGAATATTGGGCAGGCATATTTTGGCATACAATATTCGCAGGCAAACTGTAAAGCGGGCATTTGCACCTTTAACCATTTACTTTTGATACACAAGCGCAGCCAGAGAAACCTGCGAGATACGTTAGGATATGTTAAGCAATTGCGAAACAATCTGAATATAGAAAAGCATATAATTTACCTTATTTCACAATTCTCGGTATCCTGAAACGCACGTTCAAGTATTTCTAATTTTTGGAACGGCCGCAGTACCGTAGGAGATGCCAGCAAGTAGGTTAAAAATTCTATTTTAATAAGATCACTACGACTGCGTAAATGAGGAACTAAAAGAAACCACTTTTTACTTGCTTGTTCCGCGATCCACCTTTCCGCTTCGAGGTGACCATCAATTTTCTTTATGGAATGAGGAAATGGTAATCCTCGTTCATAAAACCATCTATTCCAATGTACAGAATTTAACTCCTAGCAACAGAATAGAAATTATTATTCGTTGCTCAATAAATTAAAATTAATAACTCTTCTTTATTTGCATAGAAAACATGTTACCTTAATTTTACCAGAAAAATAACTATACAGGCATTTCTTAAAATAATCAGTTGTTTGAACTACAGATTCGCAACTTTTTAAATAATATTGAAGAAATTCTTTGAAAATTCCGGGTCCACCTAATATACGTTGTAAGTGATCCAAAAGCAAATATCCTTTTTCGTACGGGACATTTTTGATGACATCCTTGGGCAAGTTTCTCGTCAAATTAGGTACTAAAGGGACGTCATGTAAATTTACCTGTAATTGTAATGCACTTATAGAAAAAAATAGTATATACACGGAAAAAAAAGAAGTTGTAAAATAGGGACAACTAACATATTTTGTTGCGAGAGCTATATTTTTAGCAATAGTAGCACAACGTTTTGTTACTATTGCTAAAAATATAGCTCTCGCAGTAAAAAAATGTTAGTTATCTATATTTTACGACTAGATTTGCTACGGTAGCTAATTTTTTTTCCGTGTAGCTATATTTTTAGCAATAGTAACAAAACGTTGTGCTGCTATTGCTAAAAATATAGCTCTCGCAACAAAATATGTTAGTTGTCCCTATTTTACAACTTTTTTTTTTCCGTGTAGTAGAAATGTATATGAGTATGCGGGCGCACGTACGAAGTGAAAAATAATATTATCAATGAATGTATTTCTTTTTTTGATTCTATCTAAACAAATTTAATAATTTACCATATTTATTAGATTGTTCATGCCTTTCTTTTCTAGAAATTCTTGCATTTCTATATTGAAATATTTTATAAAATCCCTATAAATGAATGTACTTAAACTTTTAATCAACCACAAGTGTTGGAAATTTGCAATCACGACTATTCTTCCAATCCAGCTCTCAACGATGTTTTGAATAATTGTATGGATCATATAATGTCCGCCGCCAAATAAATTTGACGACACAAGTGTCATGAGAGGACATTGCATATCGAACTCCGGGATATTTGGTGGAAGCACACATACATTAAGTTGACCTACAATTTTATAAATACATTAATAATGAGATAATAATAAAAGGAACAAGATCTACAATTCTATATAAAATAAAATTTTATATAAAATAAAAATTTTTATACATATAAATTGAAACGACAAATTGGGTTGATATATTACCCACGAAACCATACAGCTTTTCTTCGACGTAAAACATCGTGTCTATAATTATATTAAGAGTCATTTCACTCTGCTGAATATATTTCTTCTCAGTCCACAAGTTGCATACTGTATTATGATGTCGTATTTTTTTCTCTTCTAGTGAACCTACTATAATAGATATCGCATATGGTATGTTTGGCGTTGAAGTAAATTTGTACGTAAGTTTGTTTCCTTTATCAAATACTTCTCTTTTATGCCCAGCCATGATAACGTTGAAACCCAGTTTTGGTACAGAAATCTTAAACATGTAAGTAAAGTAAACGTCAATAAAAATTAAATAGGAAAACCGTTCTATAAATAGTTGAAGCATCAGTAAATATAAGAATAAAATTACAATTTCAATTCTATACATATATATATATATATATATATATATATATGTTCATACTTTCTTCAATAACATTATATCTTTTTTACGGTATATTACTCTTCTTAATAATATATCAGTATCAATCAATTCAATATCACTGTGCTTACACACACAAATAAATAAAAAATAAATACTATTATATTTAAAGCCTTACCTCCAAAACGAATGAAACTTTGTGTGACTGTATGTCCTGGCAGGGAAATATAGCTCTGGCATATGTAAACTGAAAATGTTGAATTTCAAGTACAATATACGTTAGTACATAGTTAGAAGAAATTTATTATTTTTATATAATTTACCTTGCTGTTGGATATTAAGAGAGGATGTGTACCATCGGAAGTTTGATCAGGTTTTAGCCAATACAATGCAGGAGAATTTGGACTTGTTTCATATTCAATCTGTATTTTATATCTAAAAATACGATATTGACGTATACATATGCATATATTTAATATTTGGACCGATAATTTCACAAATCCATATATTTGACAAAAATATTTTATACTTACACATTATCCATTCTTTTTATACCATCTGTATAAAATATTGGTAACTTAATTGTAAATTTACTGCCAAACTTGTTACAATGATGTCCAATTTTATATACGAATTCTGTTTCAGTATAAAGTTCCGTGACGCTTGATATTTTAAGTCCGTAGGTATCTAAAACCTAATTGCTTGATATTATATATCAATATTATAATAAAATATACCTAAATTAAACATTAAAGTTCACTTACTACTTCATCACACATTGTATTTTTGTTTACTGTTATTATGGCCTTGCCTCTTAGAACGTTATGCTTAAAATCCACGAATAATTCCAAGCGAGTATCAGTCACAACAGCGAGCTCTAATAAATAACAGTTTACAGAAATTAAAATATATTTAAATATTTAACTATGTTATATATAAATAATAATTATTAGTACGTGACAAGAAATAATACATTTTAATTAAACATATAATATTAGAACCGGTTGTAGGATGCTTTTTAGTAGAAAAACTGCAAGTTTGTTAAAATATGCTTGACATAAAAAGAAACTTGCTACAGTGAAACAATGACATAATTTAAAACGAGCGACAGAGTCGCTTTTTAAACATGCTGATAAATTTTCAATTAGCCGATATCCGTAATCCGTATTTTATTTTCTTGAGAAAATATAACGTAAATAAATGTAAAAATGTTTAATATTGTACTTACGTAAGTAATTAACATACCTGGTCTCGCATAAGAATGCAGATTTTCAGGTGACAAAGCCATTTGAAAATTTGTGTGAATTTCTCCAAATGAGTACTTATCGGCAATACAACTTAATACCATCAAATTTGTTTCAAGAACACAGCTTATTGCTCGCTCTTTTTCCTCTGTATCTAATATCCTACTACCTTATTTCCTACTGTAGTCTATCTCCCACTTACGTATCATTCAGTGTTTAACAACATATTAGTTTGCTTGTTAGGGTATTTAAAGCGTCACCGCGTCGTGACTTTCATGTAGCGCATAAACGGTTAAATATACGTTAAACTAGTTAAAACCAGCACACATAATAAGGATTTTACGTTTTAATTAAGAGGCGTGCAATTTATACCATTCTTATATAACAATATACTATAATATATCAATGCATAATTAACGATATTGTATATAATATTAATAATATTAAGACATGCAAATTAAATGTACATATTTTCCAGCTTCTTTCTATAAATACATGCAAATTTGAATAAATATATATGTATTATTTTTAGCATTATATTTTTAATTATATCGTATCTATTTACCGTATATTTTGATAAACAATTTATAATTATATAAATATACGTTTTAATTTTCAGGGTTTTAATTGTCATTTTTCTGTATTAATAGATTTAAACAAATTTTATACTTTAAATCTTATTGTCACATACACATATTTTGGTACGCATAGATAATAGATAAGGAAACAAAATTATATAAGAGAAATTATGCGATTTTATTATTATAGTTCCTTTTATAATAGAGTATAGGTGACATTAATATTTTAGACAAAATGCGAAAAATTTTTCTATTAAATATTTTTTCCTTATGACAAATAAAGTTGTTGTAGGTAACAATTACTAAAATGTAACATAAATTGTATATAAAAATATAACATGATTGCTACTTTATAAAAATGTAATTTTGTAATCGCTACATAATTATATCGTGTCAAAGCTCATTCGAATTTTATTTATTCTTGGTTTCATATATCCAGATATCAGAATTATGATAAAATGACAGTTAATGACGTTTAATAGATCAAACTAGGCGTCATTATGTCATCTTTTAACGTCACTCTGTGTCATTTATGTAGCGTTATATTATTATACATGTATTATTTGTTATGTAATTATCTTGAATTAATAATAGGTAAAGGACACATAGCAATTCTTTCTCGATTTTTAAAAACATCCTACAGTTGTTATGCGAGAACCAACACTGGCAAATCCAAGTGCTATTTTAGCTAAAACTGAAGCGTATTTACCGTATTTTGCAATGCTGCTTAAATGGATATTTATAACATAGTGGTATACATAAGTTATCGAGCAATAGAACCCCCGTAGATTACGCCAAGCGTGCAGTCAGTCTATCGATTTTTTCATCGTTTATCATTCTGAGTGATCGATATAGCAGTCAGTCGTTTTCAGCCTCTGTAGTAATACTTGTTAGTCGCACACTAATTCTGTATTGTAATCGTATACGTATCTTCCGGTATTTATCACTTATTTAATTTAATAAACTGATGTTAAAAGCAAACTCCGCACTTTGTTTATCATACCTGTGCCAACAATGAAAAATACCACATTTTTCTTGAAAATCCTCATAAACAATAGTATATTGTACAACTAGTAGAAAAAGTGGTCGATTCTGAATGAGTGTGAAGTTGGTCGCACAAGCGAAGCGAGCAGAGTGCGACCATCACACTCATTTGGGCTCGACCACTCTTCCCACGAGTTGTTCATACTATTTTTCCTAACAAGAGCGTGAAACAGGCCGCTTTTCGCGCTTGTTTTACAATTTCATTTCTCCACTAGTTAAGAAATGGCTCCATATTTCAACGCTTACGTCATCATTGCGAAATGGATCGTTTTGCTCACTCAAAACAAGCGCGAAAAGCGGCCCATTTCACGCTCGCGTTAGGAAAAATCTTTTTCATGCAAAGAAAAAAATTTCTTTCCTTTCTTTATAATATGTCGTTTGTGAACGCAAACTGTCGAAATATACGATTGCACTACGCAATGATAACTGCTTTCCATAGCGGTTTATGTAAATCCTCTAATATATGGCAATATAAAAATAATTGAAATAACAATAAATAGTTTAATAATATTAAAATCTAAAACTTAAAATTTTACAATATATTTATTTATTAACACGTCATATATCAAAGTCTATTAAAATGCAATACAAAATATACTGTAATTTTTGTAGTAATTATTTAAACCTCTACGTGCAGAATAGCTAAACGAACAGAGTTACATACAAAAAATAATACAGTTCAACTTAAAAAATACTGGTGACATTCATAAAACAATTATCGGCTCTTAATTAACCCGTTTCCTTCCACGAATTTTAAAAATATTGTATTTTAGTATAATTAAAATTGTTCATAAAAAAATAGTGACATTTATGCTTGAAAACATTTAATTCTTTTCCACTAACGCATTCTCCTTCTTCGCAAATTTTTATTACTTTATCGATAATACTAATAATGATCAATTAAACGTCATTGTTTTCTTGTAAATAAATAAATGCAGAATACAATACTCCCTGCGTTTAAATTCTTACCTTAGCAGTGTATTTAAATTTGACAGATGGGGTGTCCTGGCATGGAAACCATGATCCAGCGTATATTTGCTGAAAGCAGATTTTTATATAATCTATATGTTTATAGATATAAAAAAAATATCAGTATTTAGTCAGTTTACCTTATTGTTTGACAATAGAAAAAGATATAAACCATCAGCAGTTTGCTCGGATGTTAGCCAATATAATGCAGGAGAATTTATACTTGTTATATATTCAATTTGGATTTCACATCTGAAAGTATTATGGGCATATTCAATTCTTACATCAATAAATATTAGTAATTATATTTTTCTAAAAAGGTTTTATAATTACCTATATAGGTTTATAATAAAAAGGATCGGTACTAACATTACCAATATCAACTTGTAGTAAATCAATGATTAAAAAAAACTTCCAAAGTCAGAAGAATTTATAACTGTATAATATAAACTTAACTCGACATCAGGATAATTTGTTACATTAATTATATCAAGTTCGTAGTTATCTAAGAACTAATTGTTCAATAGTACATTTTAATAACAAATCAAAATTTTTGCGCAATATTAAAGAAGATTAAAGAAGATTTTTACTTACTACTGCCTGAACTGAAAATAATTGTCTTTCTATAGTCGCTTGTATATATAAATCGCTTTTCCATGAAGAACCTTCTGATTAAAGTTCACATATAATTCTAAATAAGTATCGATTACACGTGCATCTTCTAATAATAAAAAAAATACAGAAATTAATAAATATATAAACAATAAATATTAATATACAAATGCAGAAGTATATGACAAAAAATGGTATAGTGTAATTAAAATCATTAAATCGCAATTGCGTGTAGTATTATTTGAATATGAAAACATTTTATAGATTTTTAAGCTCAAAAGTTATGGAGGAAGTACGTTTATATGATAACGCTGATTGTTTCAGAACTGAGGAAACATTTTTACATATTCTATCACCAAATTCTTTACGATATAAACTACCGCGATTTAATTCTAACTTTACATCGTATATTTATACATTTAAGAAGATGCACAGAATGTTGTCAATTAATTCAAAGTATGATAGAATAACCTAATAAAGAAGTAATGGCGAAGAGGAAGGAGACAGGAAGAAAAAGAAAGATATATATAGACGATGATCTAACGGTAAAAAAGAGACAAATACAAAAACAGTTATGGAGCATAGTGAAGGAGGAGAGGGAGAAAGGAAGGAAAGCAACGATAGGATACCAAAAAATATGGATAGACAATCGCAAAAAAAAATGGAATAAAAGCACCAAAATGCTAGAAGATGAAGGAGCTTAGGAAAAGAAGAGGTTGTATAGACAACATGTACGCACTGAAGACAGCAGCAGAGAAGGTGTTAGCAAGGAGGAAGGGGAAATTGTATGTATTTTTTGCAGACGTAAAAGCGGCATTTGATAAGGTGGATAGAGAGTTGTTATGGAAAAGCATGAAAGAATACGGAATCAATGAAGAATTAGTAGGTAGAATAGAGAACATACATGTATAAGGAGACAACAAGCAGGGTGATTTTAAAAAACAAGGTAACAGAAAGATTCTGGACAGAGAGAGGACATCTAAGGCTGCTCCCTGAGCTCACTGTTTTTTATAATATTTTTAGCAGATGTGGAGGAGTTTTTGAAGAAAAGGCAAGCTGGAGAAGTAGTAATTGGCAGGATAAAAATATACACACTGGCGTACGCAGACGATCTGGCGCGCAGTGCTGACGGAATCAGAGGAGGATATAAAGAAGA